TTTATCTACGCATTTACATGCACTTGCACATTAAAAGTACATAGGGCGAACGCAACGGCAATTGGCCGCAAGAGCCCAGAAGCACTTACCGAGCTGGTTTTGAAACAAGAAAATGGAACTCCACGTTCATTCATTGCTGAACATCCGCTAGATACGAGCCATTCTTACATTATTGATTAGCCTCTTGGCCATTTCCTATGACCTTGTTGTTTGTATCGATTTTTCTGGATGAATTCAATTTTGTTTTTTCTCTTAAGTTATTCAGGTTATGCAACGAGAGAAAGCAACTGACGAGCACTCTCGAAGTGAATGGATACAACAAACATTTCGCTGTTTACACTAGCTTCAAAAAAGTACACCAGATACACTTTTTGTTGGGGTGTTGAAAAAAAACACCCCAAGCAACGGACATGCAAAAGTTAATAAACAGGTTAACTATAAGCAGGCCATACTGATTGTTTATTATTTTTATGCTCGAATTTCATATAGGCTCACACAAGACATGAGTTCTGTTATTTTAAGATTTAGGAGGAAAAGTATGCTTCGGAAGCACCTTGATTTCTTTGCAAACGATGCGCACGGATAACGCAGCGCTCATTTGTTAACGCCGGCAACACAGACTTTAAAGAAGTGTTTCCATTGCGCAGAAGAAAGCACAAACAGCTTTTAAGAAAACCGGGGAATTTGTGCTTGGCAACATGACAGGCAAGAAAATTTGTAATCAATGGTCGTCTGCCGGCAGTCAACAAAAACCGAATAAGGAATCGGTTTAACATAATTATTTAAATCGATTGTGCCGCCAAGCCAAAAAGCGAGAAAATCTTTCAGTTTATATGAAGCGTACGCGGTAGTAAATAGACTTGCACTAGAATGTACATATTGAACAGGTACCTGCTGTAACGACGTGTTCAATAGTAGGATACTGTTGCTTGACCCTCGATGACATACCGCGCATATGCAAGATGTAAGTAAGATGAACGTAGCGAATCAGTGTGTGCCTTCGAGCAGTCAACGACTTCGAATCCCCTTGTATGTAGGCGCATATTGCCAGCACGACCGAGTCTGGCCATGGGATTGCGCAGAATCGTCCCCACCACTGCCCAACTACGATGTTGACATAAAATCCCAAAAAGAGTCCAATGGGCATTCTTTCGCTGACCTTGTTGCAATACAGGCAAAAATGCTCGAACTCGCTGCAAGCAGAAAGATAAAAATCGAAACCGAAAATCGAAATCCATTATGTTTACAAATACTTTAAATTTTATGCGACAGAAAGCTGAACAGGATGAATAATTTTTTAGGTTTTAGATAAAAGTACCACAGATATACTGCACATAATGCATAGATGTCCTGCGAACCCAATTTATGCAACCAATGTTTAAGATACGTAGTTGATGTCGGTCAACTATCGTTTATGTAATTGATTAATATTATGTAGCACTTTAATTAATCTTTCCAACTAGCCTTATCTTATGTCGTTGCAGAGGCTTTCCGAGTCTCTTATGTTGCCATTCCGTTCAGAAGTAAAATATAAACGCTGTCTGCAATATTTGACTTTTATAAGATATATTTATTAGCCATTTCCTTAAAAAATTGTCAAAGGGGTCTACTTGACTAAAATGGTCATCTCTTACAACAGAATTTAAAGTTTAAAACGCAAAGTATCTTTGGAATCATAAAATATAAATTGTGCATATTATAAAGATACTTATAAAAGTAACATTATGAAAACACAGAAGACATTCCGCCTGTAATACAAACCTGGAGGAATATATATTGACGTAAATTAAAATATAAGAAAATACATGTTTAAACATTATAACGAGAAATTTCCGAACGTCAAAACTTTAGTGGACCGTGTACCGCACTGAAATAATGATATATGGAACTGGTCAACAGTGAATTTAACCAAAAAACTGACAATCTGTCCAATTGTCTGTCTGTCTAATTGTCTTGGAATTAAGGTTTATAATCGCACTGTAAGAGTATCTTCGTTATGAAGGAATATCTAGAAATTCCAATGCCTTCGGTTCCTAATTAAATCTTTGGCTTTTTAACGAGGATTAAATCGTAAATGTCCGACGTACCTTGTAAATACTCTCTAGCTTCCAATTTGCGTAGCGGAAAATTGTCTTTGGGGTGCCCTAAACATTTTCACATGGCTAATTGTAATGTTACTTACTAAGTTGCAGTAACATTTGTTATTTTTAGGACATATTATCATAAGACAGAGAATCCAGAATGGCAATTTCTGCCTCAATAGGCGTCGTCAGCTGGATATACTCTACTCAAATGTAGCAGCGGAAATTGCCGCCATTCTCGAGTTTCGAACCCGCGTCTCTCTGGTCAGAGTTGAACGCTCTAACCATCAAGCCATCGGGCTCGACGTCTTGACGGTTGTTGACCGAGGCTAATCATTAGTGGATAGGCGTACTTCGATCAGATACAGGGCACATCCGCCCTGGTTTGTGATGTCCAGTGTCTTCGGGATCCCCCGAACCTTGCCAAATGGCTAATTGTAATGTTACTTACTATGTTGCAGTAACATTTTTGTTATTTTTAGGACATATTACCATAAGACAGAGAATCCAGAATGGCAATTTATGCCTCACTATTCTTCTTCCACATTTTATAATAACTTAGTTATTTGGCACATATAAAATAGTGGCATTAAAAGCTAACAGTTAATGAAAATTTTTAAAATGCTGTTTGCTTTAAAACATTAATCAATTTGGCTGAGAATAATCATTATGCAGCTCGATTCTTGACTATTTTTGTCATAAGAACGTTTTATCTTTCGATGAGCATCTTTTTGGCCACTAACATAGCAAATACTCGCAAAACGAGCTACTTAATTAGTACGGTGTTTTCACATGGACTTTCGCTGACTTCATTACTTAGACTACAGTTTCCAGAAAACAGACCCAAACATATTCTTGTGTATCATCATTTGGTGGCAAATTTTGTTAATAATAGATAATCACTATTTATAAATAGCTGTAGGAGAAATATATACTGCATGAGCGCTTACAGATACGAAATGCCCGAATTTGCAAAACACTGCCAATGACCCAAAAGCTATACTTAACGCAGGTATGGGAATTTTGAAATGAAAAATCGTAGCAAATAGAGCAAATTTAAAATTTAAAGTAAATATATAACACATTAATAGTTTATATATAAATACTCGCTTCTTTAACGAAGCCTCAAGTTTCGATAAACACAAAAAGTGCTGTAAATGCGACAGATGAATGTATTTGTAATTGTCAGATGAAAACGCAAACATACATTTTGTTTTTATTTAATGAACATTTCGTTCGCCACCTGTCTTAAGAGATATTTCTTTTATTTGATTACAATTGACTCCAGGTCCTCCTTAAAATTTCGGTGAATATTTAGCGATTATCTGCCTTTTAGAGCTTTTTATATAAAAATGTTGGAGGACATACGCAAGCATTCAATAAATAATCACCGAACCATTCCATGTATATGGAAACAGAGTTAAAGGTATTCATGCTGCTAATTATGCTGTTTGTTTTCTGCTAATGCGTACTGGGAATTGGAGGGTGTTTAGGGGTCTATAGGAGAGGACTGATGACGTGGCAATGGCCGTGGGGCTTCGTCGGAGCCTGCCCATGGAGCAGTGCACGCACTTGAGCGCGAACCTCGTATGCGGTTCTTAAGTGCACACAAGATCGCATACAGCAGTCACTTTTGCTGTAGCCAGCAGAAGCAGACTAAGGGACTTAACATATTTTGGCAGGACCTCGGAAATGACTCAGAAGGCTTTGATGGAACCAACAGAATGTTGCGATCAACATTATGCGCAAAGTAGCGCCGTTTGAGCTCCCTAACTAAATCCTTCCTCAACCAGTCTGTTGAGTGTTTCCATATTCTTTTTAATAGCCGCCGACTCGTGCGACTAATATACCCTACTTTACTAGAGCGTTTAGTTTATACAAACTCTAAACAAGATAGCTAATTTACTGCGCGCTTTACACATGCAGCCTGATATATTTTAATGGAATTAGCACGCCATGAGCTACGAGGGTTTGACTGTAGTGCCTAGATGGTCACTAATTGGTAAAGAAACTCACCTTTCCCGTTCTGCCTTCGGACTAACTCTTGAGCCCTTCCAACAGACGCCAAGCTGCTAACATGTCGGACTCGACTGGAGTGTCTATTTCTTGATTCTTAACCAACATCATCCACTCAAAATTTCACTTCCGTTGTCACAACTCTCCAGGATAGCACACGTACTTTTTATATGAAGGGCTTATTTATGTAGGCCTGCAATATTTATTATGCTGCTCTATGATAATATAATATTTTCTAAACGCAAGTATAACAGCGTTTGAATGAATTTTTGTCGGAAACCTGCAAGACATATATCTCTGCTTATCTTATATACATTTTTATAATTTTTTAAATGCTTTTGTGAGTTCTGAGCCATTTCTTTATAAAACATGTACATATATTTATACATTAAAAAATTTGGAGCTACGAGGTATAGAAAACGTATCTCGTTGATGAACGGGATATATATTCTTTCTTATGTTGGTTAAGTAAAAACGTACGATGTCTAAAATTCGTAATTATCTGCTAATTTTTGTCTCCTGTTGTTAGCAAGTAGCATATATCCATATTCGCCGTTTAAATGTCTTATATATACTGCTCATAAAATTGCAAAACGAATGTTGAATATGAATTGCATTTCGTAAAAAGCATTCACGGACAGAGCAAAACGATAAACTATGGAATGCAAAAAAAGTAAATAAATACGAATTGTTTAAAACCTATATATACCCATATTTTAAGAGTATATTTAAAGAACATATCATTTGTTGGGTATCTCGATGCATGTTCCAATAAAATATTTTTTGATTTGGTAGTTATTGGATCTAAGAAGAAGAAATTCATACTTATTCATTTTGTAGTTAATGCGGTTTCTGAAGGCGGCATTCAAAAGGCGTTATGCGTGAAACATATCGAGGTTTAAAGGTATGGTAATAAATGCTACAACTCTAACTTAAGTAATCTTTCCAAATGGACATGACACTACAGGATTTTAGGTTACATCTGGAGATATTACAGGGTCGGTGGGTAGCTAAAATTGCCATTGCATGCGGCCCTTAATTGGGATATCATCTAAACAAATGAGCACTTTATATAAAGTCAGAATACACTTATAAATGACTTGGCAGCAGATATGTCCTTCGGTGTGACACAAAGGGAAAGCCAGCGCCTGGCGATTGTGTCCGTCTTGCTTAATCTCATTAACTAGTTAAAGAAACACTTAGCTGAAATCTTAGTTTAGAACCATTCTTATCTTTTGTGAAACCTAACTCAAATAGGCTGCCGCATACAATGACCATGCCAAGGAAATAGTTCATATAATCATTTTCGATAAACGCCAGCTTTTAACTACGTTAACATACACGATTATATATATGTATATGGCAACGAAATTTTCGCATACGAAAACGAATATGATATATTCCCTGTCAACATACGGCCCCAGCCTAGGTGGGGCCACAGACGGAGCCAGGTGGAGCAACCCGGGGCTAAGGGTTAAATAAATATATGGTAAAAGTTTCTCGAAACCTATTTTTGTCAAAAAAAAGTATCAATAACCATTAGTTTGCATCTTCTTCTTTGATAAAACAATGAAATCGAGGGTTGAAACGGGAAAAGGGGGGGGGTGCCCGCTGCGAAAATATTTTCCGTAGGTGGGGCTTAACGGGTTAAATGTGACCCCGTCTAATTCGGTAGTACATGGACTGAATTAGACAGGGCCAAATCAACCCGTTAAACCCCACCTACGTAAAATATATTCGTAGCGCGCATCCCCGATTTCCCGTTTCAACCCCCGATTTCATTGTTTTATCAAAGAAGGTGCAAACTAATGGTTATTGATACTTTTTGACAAAAAATAGATTTCGAGAAATTCGTGCAATGCATTTAGTCCCCGGATTGCTCCGCCTGGCCCCGGCTATTTAGATGGGGCCAGGCTGGGCTGGTGCTGACAGAGTTATAATTGATGGCAATTTTTAAAAATGAGGGCGATTAGATATATATGCAATAAGGATAACTAAAATATATATTTCAAAACGTTTGTTTTTGTTATACAAATATGAGTTCCCGGAACTTGTCGTAAAAAATGGCCTACCATTTTATTTGTGCAGTCATGCCG